ATTTCGACAAAATTTTTAAATCGACTACATCCAGTATTACGGATACAGCTGATTTGTCTCATTTTTCTATCGCCTGTTTAAGGCTTGAAAAAAATACAGTCTTGATTGATACTATTGGGCCCTGAACAAGTGCAGCAGGTCAAGAGATAATTCACTCTTATCGCAGACAAGACAACAAGTACACGGAAAGTATAAAAGTTCACTGACTCGATAGACAGTGGCGTTGAAATGCGTTGATGACAAAAATTGAAATTCCGACTGTCGAAGCGACGAATCCCCTTTACGAAAAACCCACTGACCTTTCATATGGCTACCATGTACAAATTCAAACGAGTGTTTCAAGGCAAAAGTGGGTTCCATTATAAGTTTTCGCAACTTTGTACGCGATCGCGGGAATTTCAAATACTACTGAAAATTAGACATAATTATGCAAACGTTTTGGTCTTCTGAGCCACGGCATTGGCTAGCGTTGTTCCGGAGCTTGGACTCAACGGAAGCAAATGAAATTCCTGCTAATAATAGGAACCATTCACTTAAATTAAGTCCTCTAAACGCACTGAGCTCTGTTATCGACATTTTTGTGCAAAAGCAACATGAGCTTACCTTAAAAGAGGCCAATATCGGAGATTCGATAAAGTAGATAAAGTGTAAATTGTAGGATTGGTAACCGCCAACACTAAAACGGTAATTAGTTTCGCTGCAGTATGCAGTGTGCTTTTGTCCAATTTTAATCTACAGTGTATTCTTGACGCCGGGAAAGGTCTTAAAGTATTCACTGCTTTCTTTGCAACTGCAAGTGCAACAAAAATCTTCAAGATAAAGACACTGGAAATCCAGATCTCTATCGATAGGACGCCCTTTCGTGGTAAACAAATCACGCTGACCGGTGTTACTACTTAGAATACCCCTATTCAAAAACTAAGCTGCATTATCGTTGACTTCTCTATGACAAACTAAATGTTTAATTAAACGTTTTGCATTTCAGCGATAAATCAAAGATTCCAGCTTTAAGTGAAACCTTATCATCGTCGCTTGATGTTCACATAAGGGAGTACAGACGCTAAACTCAGAACTACTGACAGCTGAAATAAACGGACAAAAAATGCAGTCTATGAGTAACCGCGCCAACGACGGTTTTACTGGGAATAAAAATTGAAATACAATGTCTCTTACCACACCGACTTAGTTTAAGATACGAATATCCAAAGCAAAACTAGTCGTTAGCAGTCCCTTGCGTTTTCTTAAAAATGTAAATATTGGTTAATTACTCTCTATAAAACGATTCAGTTTGTCTCATCAGATTGACCACATACAGTGTGATATTTCTCAGAAAAGCAATTCTAATGTTAGCCTAAGGACTTTGAAAGGAGCTCATTTCTACCATGTGGTTATTTGCTATTTTCTACTTTTTTCGTCATCTGTCTACATCTTTTTGCATTTCTGATGTATGTTAGGAAAAAGAGAGATCCCACAGTTAGAAGCTATGGCCATACGTACCTCTCAAAAGGAATGGGCAGGTAACAAAATAATTAATAGCAAATATTAAAATGCACATAGCTTATCTAAGTGTTTATTTTTAAGTGTTTTATTTTTCCGCGTTAATTTGCGAACAGTAGAATGAAAACATCGGAAGAACATGTCGTTGAAAAGAGCAGGGCAAACAAAATTTAAAACACATCTGCATACAGACTATCCTTTTTTATTTGAATTTGACGTATGGAAATTTTAAAACGTCTCCTGAGAGGTTTTATCGATAATTATCGGACCTCATGGGAAGCACTAGACAGATTAAGAGAGAGCCAGGGAGAAAAAGTGAAATCAACAAACATTTCTCAGGGAGCTATGTTGGTGTGATTGGGACAGAGAGAGGGACGAAAATGAACACAAGCCATGCGAGAGGTAGACTATTCACTTCATTAGCCATGACTATAATAGTAAAAAGCATAGATGCTTAGATACCTACACTTCCTTTTGACAAACTGCAAGTAAACTACAAGAAATCACGAACTTGACTGGAACAGTTGTGCTGAGAAAGGTCCTGTTCCATTTTTACGAAATACTGCTTTATTACCTCGATAGAATAGCAAAGGAAGTTGAGTCAGTTTCCAGTCTCACTAAATCTGACTACGGCATCATTAATATGTCCTATAAGCTTTGAAATGGAGGGCAAAATTTATGTAAAACAATTTCATTTATTGGTTAGTTGATAAGATAACATCCATACTACGGAAAGTGAGTTCACTGTCTGAGCAGCTTTCTGTACAGACTTTTCTCTATAGTTTAGCTTTAATTATGAATATATATGATAATTATAATATATAAAGGGAAATTAACTTGCAGTTAAGATGCTTTAAATTCATATTGAACGCTGAAGAGAATATAGGAAAAGGCACAAATTTTCAATATTATTGACAGTGCCTAATTTAGACATACAGGGGTTCATGCAAATTGGTGAACAGGATCACGCTGCATTTATCGTCGAAAAGGATCCTTATAACGTGAGGAAAACGTTCATTTTAAAAATACCTCCCCTGCAAATAACATGTGAGTGATTGAGAGAAAAACTGATGCTCTGTAGAAATCAAGTACACTTTTGGAACCAAAGATGTAAATTTTTTGCACAAACTAAACACCAAATACCAGTTTTGAACTGAAACTGCGATGTAATATAACATTTAATGAGAAATAAGTAGATTCTAACAGCTGAGTCGCATGACAATTTTTGAACTAAAGCCGTAAGTTACCTGTGAATTGCTAGCTTAAACCTTGGAAAGAGAAATGAAGTAAAGGCGCAGCCGAATTTTAAACGATGCCTCTGACCACTTTTTCTTCGTTTCGTTTTTGCCAATATACTATTTTTTAAACTGTCTCGTGAGAAACTAAACCGGTAAATGGCTATGATGCGGCCGAGTGTGTCCATGATAACCGGATCGAGTTCGTAATAACGTGGCTTAAAGATGGTGCGTGCTAAATACATAAGTCTTTTGCCCAAATTAGGATGATGTAAAAAATAGGATTTCAACAAACGCTATTGGGATGGAAAAAGAAAACTGGCGGTAACTATACTATTTTCACAGAAAAGTTTTCAGAGATGAGCTTTGATTCTCAAACTGAAAAATGCTGAATTCAGCGATCAGATGTCTCAGACTTCGCGTTTACATACAGAAAAGCAACAATAATTTTGATAATTTACAAGAGTTTTTCTCCGGAAGACACGCATAACAAGAATGTACGCCAGCAGGCTTACCGTGTCTATGCCCAGTTAACTCACCACCCCGTGACTGCCAAAGATTTTACCAGGCTGGAGAAATTTTCAAATTCTCAGATGTAGCTTCTCTTTCTGATGTTATTGCATCGAGTTTATTGAAGACAATTTGCTGTAAGAGAGCTACTGATGGATTCTGCTAAATCTATAGTTGATAACGTAAAAGGTCCAGCGACAGCGTTTACTACCGAAACAGGTAGACCGGTTAAAGATGTTCTTGAAAACTACAGTACTTTAGACGGCGGAACGTCCTTGACAGCGATCGGAAACTATCGCGCTCTTAGGAATGTGACCACGCGAGTTCGTGTTTTTGGTTTGAAAAACAAAGCCACGTGACCTAAGTCGTTGACGTTTAGCGCCAAAATCAACTGTCACGCGTATCTTTTAATTCGCGGTCTACCTGTTTCGGTAGTATGGGCAAAAAACTCTGCTCACTCGTTCCGATGACAAGTTGACGGAGCTGTTTTGTTTTTGCACATAGGTGCACAGAGAAAACTGTCCGAATTTAAAATACAGCACCATCTGACAGTTTTGAATATAAAATAAACAGGACGTGTCCGTCCGAAGATTGTTCACGTTGTTTGGTTTATTACAACGAGGAATCGTTGTCATAATATTTCACCTCTATTTCATAGTTATAGTCATACAGTTAAATCAAAACAAGTGGACAGCTTACATATCAAGGCTAAGGTTTTCAACAATGTTAACAATCCTCGGATTCGTCTTGTTTATTTTAAATCGGGATTTTAAGTAACTAGCTAACGCCTTGCTGACAACAAAAAGCTCAGAAAGCGCTTAAAACCTTGTAGTTTAAGGCAAGCGTGAAACGAGTCGCTGTATCAGCTCTTGTGAGCTTATATAGCGACCATTCCGTGATCCGTTCTTCTTTGCACCTACCGTTTGCGACTGCTGCTGAATAAGAGATATTCATACGTTATTGGTGTTATGCCAGACGAGCGACAACTCCTGTTCAAGCTGTGAAGAAATTTGCGGATTTTTATGGGTTTGTACAAATCAGAACGCGCGAGGAATCTCACTTATTTTATGGTAAGGTCATCATATATTAAATTCTGTTAAAGCAGGCGTCTACAGCCCCGGCCGGGCAAACAAAAAGATTCATTCTTAGATGGCAAATAATTATAATCACTATGGTAAATCACTGCTCGCGGCTATTCTTCAAATCACTTTCAAACGGGAAAAATTTATATAGCCTGCAAAAAATGCGGGGAAAATTGTTCTTCAATTAAAAAAAGAAACTAGTTTGAAATATTCATATCCCACCTGATTTTGACCACAGAACTGATGAGCTGTAATAAGAAGGGATCTGCAATCACAGTGCTTAAACAAACAATACCTTGATAAATGCAACTTTGAATATTTTGAATATTCCTTTTATACGTATTTCAAACTAGGAAACAATCTCTTTATCTATTTGAAAATAGGTAAAGAGGTTGTCAACTCAAAAATAGTAGAGGCAAAAACAATTGCGTGACTTGTATAGAGCAACCTGCTCCTAGCCACGTAATTGTTTAGTCTCCAATTAGATTAAAATGCGAATGTTACTGTTTAGAAGGTGGTAATTGTTACTACTTGTTGAACTCAAAACGTTCTGGTATTTTTTCATTGCAGTCTTTTACAGAGAACATGGTGAACCAGTTTAAGGTGAATGAGAAAAAGATGATAACACATTTTGTTGTTTATTTAGAAACGGAATTCCGAAACACAGGTTTCAATGATGAATAAGTCATCTGGCGTGTCCATGTCGGTCCATCAGCAGTCTTTCAACAAGATGCACCTGGCTGAACTGGTGTCTTGGTGTATCGTTAACGGCCTTGTAGCCATTTTAGCCATCTTCGGCAACTCTCTAGTCATAGCAGCCTTTATCTGTTTTAAGAAGCTTAGAACGCGCACCACCTACTTTGTGGTTGGACTTGCAGCTGCTGACATCCTGGTGGGCCTTTTGTCGATACCATTCTGGACGGCGACTTTGGTCTCAATTTGGCTTGAGAGTGTGTCCTGGATGAGTAATTCATTGTTGTACAGAGCATTTATCGCCCTGGATGTCGTCTCTGGCATCGCTTCCATTCTCCATTTGCTGCTGATAAGCTTGGAGAGGCTGTACGCTATTGGCTGGCCCGTCAGGCACCGAGTGTGTTCGAGGCGTTCTTACTTGTTATCAGCATCCATGGCATGATGTATCACGCTCGGTGCAGCAGCTATGTTTGTTCCAGACAAGAATCTCACCCATTTTTCACGATTTCTGGTGTTACAGCTTTGCTTTTTCATTCCCTTGACATAGATCTGCATCACAAATGTCATAATTGGGCTTATCGTGAAGCGTCGCGTCGCGACATTCCCCACTAAGGACAGTAAGCCTTTTTAAAGTGAAAAATAGATCTCCACAGCAAGGCCGGTATTCATTAGCGAAAAACGTCCACAAAAAAGCTAGAGATTTTAATCACATTGTGGAAGTGTAAGGCTTGTCAAACTCGTGGACTTTGTAGCTGGAGTTGGATATCGAGGGGCTTGGTTGTTCACTTGGTTAACTTTAGCGCAGGTTCCCTTTTTCACCCAAGACCAATAAGAAAAATAAGAGTAGACCTGATTTGTATTTGTAGCAACAAAATTCAAAAAAGTGTAAGTGAGAACAAAAAGAAATGAGATCATAGTGATCAGAGCCCGGCTGTTGGCTCGATTATTTATAAACAGTTGATAAACAGTGATTGGCTCTTGATCATGGACATAATTGTTTGTTCCAAACGATTGGAAGAAAGAAACATGAAATGTCGATCAGCCGGTCAATCTGCAAACTTCAAAAGCAATTATGAAATAAAGGAAAATGGTAGCCTAACTTGAAAATAACTTTTTCAAATTGGCAAACTTAAACAATTGCCACCATGATATTTTGGCTAAGAAGACACATCCGTAATGTATTTCGCTGCGACGGGTGACTAGTTTGCTTTTACTCAATCCGCTATTTGCTTTCAATGGAAACTGAATTATTCTATTTCCTCCTTGTTTGATGCCAGCTCTGGTCTGAGAATCTGATCAATTCACAAAGGACTCCGGTGGGGTAAATTTTATTTTTTCAAGAATTGTTGTCATTAAGAATTCAAGGCGCCAAGCTGACATGCAACACGACGTGTGTTACTCTGACCCTCTCTCAGCCAATCAACAGGTAGCAACTGCTGTTACTCTCAAGCGTTAAACGGCGGTCACAAGTTTTCACTTTAGCAGACACTGGATTTAGCGAATTTAGTGGTATCGATTTTATTAAAGTATCCTTAAACAGTTTTAGTCGAGATTGCCAAAATCAGTTTAAAGATTTAATAAACCTCGTTTGTAGTCGGCAAACCGAATGAAAACTTAACTACTATAAAAGTGCAGGCAGAAGTCCAATCCAGTAGAATCATCATATGTGCGGATAGTTTTTAAATTTATTGTAGGACTTTCACAGTAGAAGTCTGTACGGTGCTGGGGCCCACCAATCCCTTATTCTTCTTATTCCAAAATGAACGAGGAAGATTAACATTCCCTTCAAATTGATAAAAGTATCTCAAATTAAAATATTAAGGAGTCCATTACTTTATTATTATTTCTTTTTGGTATTGCACATGGACGTAATTAATCTCATAAACCTTACCACGAATTCAGTTACTGGGTACTGCTAACAAGTAATGCGCCATCCATTCCTGATTACGACGAAAACCGTCTTCCTGTAAGGTATGTTGAAAATTGGTTATAGGTCAGTTACGAAGAAATTCTAAGTGAATATAATCAATGCAAAATATACTTGATTTGCTTTCTGACTCCACTCCAGTGGTCAAAGAACTCTACTGGTTCCCTGTGAAATCACACAATGACGTGCTCTTTTACTTTAGCTAATCGCTAAGGAGCCCGCTCAGAACTACATTTTGTTTCACCTAATGGCGACGAATCAATTGTTTGCTGCGCTCTTAAGCAAACGACTTTTTCGTAGTTTATTTTCTATTTTTGAGTTGGGAGGTATAATCAAAACCTTAATAACTGGCCCCGCGGGAAACAGTGAGTTTTGTTTCTCCTCGACCTCAATTAAAGAACATTGAGGGTCTCGGGGAAATAAAACTCACAGTTTCCCTTAGGGCCAATCATTAAGTACTTATTGTTTACCCAACTTTGTCATTGAATTAGCTTACGTGCCGTTTACAAACCATTCGTAAAAAAATCTAACGAGCGAACGAGCGAGTAACTCATGTACTAGACAAAGATGTATTAAAGAACAGATTTATTTCGAACTACTTTACGTTAGTTGCATTTAGTTCACCAGTTACGTTCTCCAGAAGTGTTTTTCCGGTGTGAAATTTCGTGCAAAGTTTAAAGTTGTACTACAAAAACAATTTCTGTCAGTCGTTGCGAAATCAGTCGAAATCAGACTCTTCTACCGTAAATTGAGTAGCAGATAGCGAGGAAATTCGTAAAGTGTACTCCACCGAAATTCTGTCAAATGCAGCAATGATCAGTGAGGTAAACTCGACTGAAATTGACTCATTTTTTACTTAAAATTGTACAGAGAGAGACACACAGGTTTACGCGCCATTACAGCGCCGAGCTACAAAGAGCCAAACAAACTCTCACAACTTCAAAAAACTCAATTAAATCTACTTACAGTGAATTTCCTTGCCATTTAGAGGTGAATCGTCTATGAAGTGTAAAAAGGGCGAAAGATTGACGATTACCGCTAATTCGTTCACGAAAATAGATCAACTCGACGGATTCCGTCCGCTGTGGCGGTCCGGATGACAAAATTACGCCTGCTGCAAGAACCAATCAGATTCCAGGAATTGTTGAATTTCGCCCGCTCACGAGCTGAGAAAAAGATAAAATTCATTACTGCATTCTTGAAACGACTAGCGGTTAAAATATTCAAATAATCAATTCATTAACGAAATCTTGAGGGGTACACTTCGCTTGGTTTGACTCACAAATGTTGACATTGTTGTGAGATTTGATGTCTTCGTAAAGAACTTTCTAAGTTTCTTTTGAGATAAGATAAGATAACTTTATTATAACTTAGTTTATAATTCACACATTGTCTTTTGTTATCCACTGACCTATATTTATCTTACAACGCGTGTGAATAGTAAACTAATTGAAAGTGGGAGGAGGGCCTGATGAAGCGGGGCAAATGAATTGAATTGATCGATTAGTAAGGGATTTATACATATAAATCCCTTTTGTAAGGGAATTACGCAGATTATGTATTGTGGTCTATGAAATGTTGTAGTTTGCAATTAATACAAGCTCTTTCTGACGAAATCAAATACGTTAACTACTTCAGTATGTCACGATAGGGTTTGATTGACTGTAACTTTCAGATTAATTATGTAATATTAGACACCCGCTGTGCTAACCATTCAAATTGTAAGGCCACGCATTAGAGCTTACCAGTTTCCCCAGTGAATTAATTCTTCTAATTACAGCATTGTCAACTTGGAATCGACAACATGGTTCGCATTATCGAAACCATGGCACTACGGTATTCCTATACATTAACCCTTTTCTTGACAACTTGTCTGGAATTTGGTTCCGCCGAACAACTTCGTATGCAGTGTGTTGGAGCTGTCGGTACTTTGCTCTTCATAAAATCTTTCAGCTGTTTCTGTCGAGTTTCACTTCATACGTTTTGGCCTACTTGACAGACTGACAAAACCAACGACGCGTGCAACCGCTTCTTGTCAACATCAGACAAGGCAAAGAAAACAGCGTGCAATCCAAACAACCTTGTGTTATTCAAATGACTTAGTCTTCGAGTCAAATCCGGACGATCTCTTCATTTGTCAGAGAGCCACACAATGGTAACAATGTCAGGTGACGAGACAAAAAGTATTTTGCTTCTTGCTGGAGCCCAAAAACATGGTACTATAAATTTGCAAGCTTTTCCGCGTCCTCTTGGGCTTTTTATAATGTTCTTATTAAAGAGCTTAAGCAAACCACGACGACGGTTTTAATGAGGAAAACAATAGCTGTGCTCGTGCGTTATAAATCTTGGTACATTTCTTTGTCGTCCTCTGCAAAACAACAACGTGAAATGACTTAGTTTTGCGTATTTTGGAGAACTCGAACGACGGCGGCTAATTTGTCGTATTTTTAGTTGAAATTGCGGAACGTTGGCGTTACATATTTAGCTTGAGTAAATTTTGAGACCGATAGTCGCACTGAAACGATTTACACAATTGAGAAATTCGAAGGTAAAATATAGATTTAGTTTTCTCTAGGCGTTATCCTCGGGGTCGCCGTCGTCATTACTTAATTAAGCTCCCAATTAAACCACGAAATATGTCAGATAAATACTTCGAACGTCGGTTTTAATCCATATACATGATCAGGATTAATACCTCCTTTGAGATATTAATAGACTTTGTACATCCTTAGCCTCGTGCTCATGTTTCCAGGCAAAGGATTTTTCACATGAATGTGAGGCTTAGGATGTATAAGTATTATTATTCATATGTCGGCGCCATTTATGCATAGGGTCTATGTCTCACATAAAGCGTGAGCCAAACCCTTTTTACCAAAGCGCGGTAATGGTGGTAAATAACACAACGATGCTCACTGCGGAGCTAATATCCACGGCACATTTCATCAACTCAAAGAAGTACTCACGATAGCCAGGTATGAAAAAGAAAGAGTCTGGTCAGCCTCGTTTCCAGGATCTCCATTCCTCCCGCCTCGCTTTGGGGAGAAACGACCCTGGGACCTAAGTTGGAAAGCACTATGACGTCACGAAAATTCAAATCCTTAGATTATTGACCTAACAAGGTTCTTCGTTTCATATGTTGAACGCATCATACTCAATCATACTCATCAATCTCTGTGCAAATGATCATGTTGACAAAGTGCCTTGCGTCAGAGATCAAAGGCTTTGAAATCTGTGACGGCCCTGCTCAACTTATTTCTCAAATGTCACAAAATATAATACCTTGGGGCTATTTTAAGGTTTCAAATATGATAAATATTTAAAAGTGATATCCAAAAGCTTTGAAGCTAATTTTAATAATAAAATTGAAAACCTTTCCATACTTCTTACATACCTAAGGTATTGAAGTGTTGCCGGGTGAAGGTTCCAACCACAGAAAATTAAAAAAAAAAACAAATTCTTTTCCAAGTACTTATTTAAAAAAGGAATACAACTGGGCAATTTGCTTTTCTTCCAGT